TAAAAAAATCTACAAAATGTTTCGTCGTTTCCATGCCGTTTGAAAATTCGTTGCGATAGCAATGATCGTTGTTAAACATGAGGAAGGTGGAACTGAAGCGTGAATTGAACAAAAAAAAAATGAAAATGATGATGAACAAGGCAATAAAAAAAGTGGAAATAAGAAGACTAAGAAGAAGAAATAAAAAGTGTTTAATAGAATAAATGAGGAAGTTAAATATCTGAATTGGGCATGATTTGGAGATTATGATGATGAAGAATAGACTTGTTCTTGGAAATTGGGTATTGTGAAGGGCTGAAGCGCTGTATGGGATTGGATTTTGAATATTTTTGAGCTAATTTGATGGTTTTTTGTGTTTTTGAAATATTAATTGGGTAGACTTTGATGAGATTTGAAGAAAAATTGACAGAAAAAAAATTAGAAAATTCGTGCGTCATATTTTGGGTAAACAGTAATGTTTACACATGATAATGACGCACGTTTTACCATTTTTTATTAAATTTATTGCAGATTTATAGATTTATTTGAACTAGTCAGGTTGCAATGAGGAGAGCTTAGCAAAATCAGGTTCCAGTGAGTTGAGATGGGCAAATTTAGGCTAGAGCGAGTAAAGGTGGGCAAAATTTGGGAATGGTGGTTAGAGTTGGGCAAAACTGTTCATTTAAAATGGTCAATATTCAAAACAAGCTATATTTGGCTTTAAACAGTTAAAAATTAACACCAAACAAACCCAATAAATTCCTCTCAAAACTTCAACAAAAAAATCTCCACAAAACCAACAGAAAGCCATCTCAAAAAATCAGCACATCAATATTTGCACATCCAATTAATGCCACAATTCATCACAAAAAAAAGTTTCTAAATCTCACATCATCATCATCAGCACCTCGCAAACTAATTCCTTGTCACCATAATCTCATTTTTCATCACTCCCGTGTGTCATCGCGAAATGACAAATCATTCCTAACAGTAGCAAACTGACAATTGCGGATAGAATCAACATGAGTAAGTCAGCAAACAGCGGCTACATTCCAAAGAAATGCTAACAAGTTGAAATGGCAAATGAATTCATTAATTAGCACAGAAATCGCGAGTTTTTTTTTTGTAGAATGAAAAAATTATGGAAAAATAATGGAAATGTTAATAGAGTCGGGAAGGAAAGTTAATTGACCGTAACTCAAATACATTTGTAATTTTTGGTTCGTATGCTGGCTGGTGTTGGCTGGGATTCGTAAGTTTGGATGTTGACTGGCAATAACTAGAATAACTAGAATAACTAGGGGTGTTATTGTCTGTCCGTACGGCTGGGTAGTTGGTTTCTAGGCTTATAAGCTAGCTTATGAAGACTATGTTGACTAGGTGGGTCAGATTAGGAATTGCTAGATGCCTTGTAGGTCTGATTTCTATCCCTCCGGTTGATTTTTGATACTCAGGTTGGTTGGTTGGCTGGCTTAATAGTTCATGGATGGCCTCCCTAGTAGATTAGTTGCAATTCTGCATGTCTGTCAGATACTTTTGTCAACTAAGAAGCTATCAGACCAGATAAAAAGTAAAACAATCTCCAAACCACACTAGTTCACTTCCCAATCCAGTCCCATACAAATCATCTCCAAAAAAATCCAGAAGCACATCCAAAAAGAATCATGAATTTTAATTGCACAGCGTCCCCATCATCACAAACCATTTACAGCCAAAATTTATTGCCAATCTTCTTTGATTGTTTGTGTTATCGAACATTCAAAATTACGTCGTTTAATAATTTTCTTCTTCTTTGATCGAGTTGGAATCTTTTTTCAAGAGGTTCACATGATGCAACACCACTACCATTGTAACGGACTTTTTTTCCTCTCTTCTGGTGTGTTGTGGCACACTTGTTGTTTTGAGTTCTTTTGTTTTCGCTATTGCTGAGTCTTCTTTGTGGTTTGTGTTCGTTGTTTTTGTTGATGAAGTTTGGTTTGGTTATTGAGGGTTTGGAGGATGTTTCGGATGGGAATGTGGAAGAAGCATTGAGAGGTTTTGCATGTGCAATATGGAAATTTTTGGATTGAGAATTTGATTGAAAATTAAAAGGTGCTGATTGATTGGTAATATTGGGGAGTTAGGATTTGATTGGTACAGCCTAAGGTGCCATCATGGCTGAGGTACAGTCTGGGTAAGGTTAGATACCTACTCGGTCACATTTAACCTCTTGGTTCCTTCGTAAGTTGCAGATTCAACTCTAAGGTTGATCCTAGTCAAGGGCATATGCTTGATGTAACCTGTTAGATATCAATCGCTATCTAGGGTCCACTCTAGTTAAGATTAGACTTTAGAATAAAGCTGAAAACTACTTCTTGTATTATTCTGCAGATACCTTCATCTTCATGACAATCCATTCATTCAGCTCCAATGTTTCACAACAAAATTCAATTTTACTATCCAAAAAACATTGATCCAACTCAACAATCTAGAAAAAACATTAGAATCAATGTTCTTCAATGTTTTAACAGTGCATCCTCAATGTTTCCTATTGCTTCTCCCTCAATTCCACTCATTCCCTCAATACACAACTCAACTTTAGTCTAACCAAAACTATCGTCACAAGCAGACGTGCGATAAAACTTATTTTCATATTACTCGAACTACAAAAAGTATTTCTCACACCTTTTCAAACACAACACAAAAGTAAAAAAAGTAAAAAAATTAAATTCATAGTTTTTGTGTATTTTTTTATACTCTGCCACATCGGTCGCTCGGTGTTTATGGATTTTAATAGTGAATACAAAAAAAAACATAAACAAAGATTAAATGTCAAAATAAAATTTCTATTGGCAGAGGAGAGGCAGAAGTGAACTTTAAATAATTTTTAAAAAGGTTAAAAAAATAGTTTTGAGAATTTTGAAGTGAAAAATTGAAGAACTTTGTGGATTAGTCGACGGAAAAAGCAACAAATTGATCAAAAAAGAGATCCGGAAATTATAAAAACATTCAAAAATTGACAAAAAAATTGAAAAAAATTCAAAAACTAAGAAAAAAGTGAAAAAAAATCAAATTTCTTAATTAACACACAAAACACCAAACTAAATGTCAAAAAGAACACAATCATTAAGTCCCGTGCAATTCCAATAAATCTCAGCGCAGCAAATTAGCAAAAACATAAAAAAGTCGACTAAAAGAAATCAAAAGAAAAACCGCAAAATCGTTAAAACACAAAAATAAAAAAAAATAAGCCAAAACCAGAAGCAGAAAAATTGCGCAAGAAAGAACTGAAACAAGGCAGAATCGAAAGCGATTAAAAAAATCGAAACGATTAAAAAAAAGTAAAGAATTGCCGCATATAGGAACTGAGAAAAAGTAATAATAAGTAGTGTAAGCGAGGCAGCAACGGCACTGAAAGTAATTTAGACAGTCAATCGATATTTCACCTGTTTTACGCTTCATTAGGTTGGATTTAATGCTGACTAGTTGTGGACTATGTAGAAACTGTGATTGTGAAATTGTTGGAGAAGTTGAAAAAATGTTAAAAAATTAAAAATAATTATAAAAATCAATTTTTGAGTGAAAAAATCTGAAAAGAGCAAAAAATTGAACAGAATTTTTACAAAATTAATTTTAAAAAAATCACAGAAAATTAAAATAAATTTTTAAAAAATCAGCAAACATTAAAATAAATTTTAAAAAAATCATAAAACATCAAAATAAATTTTTAAAAATAAAAATCATTTTTAAAAAAATAATCAAACATTTTTAAAAATTGAACAAAACCTAGAAAAAAATTTAAAATTTTTTTAAATCAAAAAGTTTAAAAAATAGATTTTAAAAATTATAAGAAATTTTAAAAAAATTCAAAAAATTCAAAAAATTCAAAAAATTCAAAAAACTGAAAAAATCATCAAAAAACATTAAAAACCATCGAAAAAATCTAAAATTTCAACAAAATCCTATCAAAATAAATTCAAATTCCACATCAACAAGCCAACCTTATCAACACATCACCCCCAAATAACTTGACATACAGTTCAAGACACATAATTCAATAACTTCGGATAGTGTTCATTGAAGTAGACATAATCAGCTCCCAATATCAGTTCAACACAATCTGTCAAAGCTGGAATTGAAGAGGATTCTGATAAGTTTCAAAAAAGTTTTTTTTTTGATTAATTGAAGAATTTTGTTTGAATATTTACGGAAGTGTAAAGTTGAAGAAAATTGGAATTTTAATTGAAAAAAAAATTGGGATTGTAAAAAATTGGAGAAAAAAATTGAAAAAATTCCGAAACGTCAGAAAATTTCAAAATCAAATTAAAGTAAAAAAGTTTTTGTAACAAACTTTCAAAATAATTCAACAAAAATCACACAAGTCGAATTAAAAAATCTGACGTCACCCATCAAAAAAATCAAACACCCGGCAAAATAGCTCATTTTGAACAAATTTATTGTGACCTCCAAAACAGCACCGAAAATTACTTCATTAATTAGTTTGTTGACTTTGAAGCCGTTTATTTGTGGAACGATTGCCAAGGCAGCGAGCCAAGAAGCACCAACAACAACAAAAAATTATAAATTTTGTGGATTAAAGTGAAAAGAAACAAAACAAAAAATTTAATTTAATTAAAATCTAATTGAAAATTGTGAAAGAAGAACTCGAGAAAAATAATCAAAAAAGTGAGCAGAATTGGCAAAGAAAATTGTGAAAAAAGAGCCGAAAACAAATAAAATTGAAGATTTTTGAACAGTTTTGTGACGAATTTGTGGATTATTTGTGACTGAAGAGTCAATTTTAAGAAAAAAAAAATTGACAAAAAATTCTGAAAAAAAAATTGCACAACAATCAAACTTTTTCCCATTATCCGTAACCATGACACCGCATCGCACACAACAAACATAATCAATATTGTTTCCACAATTTCATAGTGCGACAAAAAATAAAAAAAGATAATTTTCTTTTAAATTCATCTGTGCATATCGAAAAGAAATAAAATAAAATAAATTAGAAAACATAAAAATAAATTTGTGAAAGCATGAAAATGTCAAGTCTTGTGAAACTCTTGTGTTTGATGCTCTGCATCGTGTGTGCACAATCGGTCATTGTTCGTAATGGAGTTTATGATAATCTTGTGATTGAGATCCAGAAGGATGTTAGCGATGAAGATTGCAGTCGATTTTTGGCGACACTTGAGGTGAGTTTGAGGCTACTTTTATTATTTTTTGTGGGGTATTTAAGGGACATTTGGATAATATATTGACTCTGTTGATGTAACTGGAAATTGTGGGTGTACATTGTAGCTTGGAAGAGCTTCTTAATGTTAATTTTAGTCTCCAAACCTCATTTTGAGTCGCAAAAGGCTCAGGTTAAGTCTCAAATCCTCTGTTTGAGTTGTTAAGGCTTAGCATAAGTCTCAAAGATTTAGTTTGAGTCTCAAAGGTTCTGTTTGTGTTGTTAAGGCTCTGTTCGAGTCTAAAAAGCTCAGTTCAATTCTCAGAAGCTCTGTTTGAGTTGTTAAGGCTCAGTTTGAGTTTCCGATTGGTTCATTTTGTATCCAGAATGCTTAATTCAAGTCCGCAAGGTTCATATAAGATTCAAGAACAACAATTCTGATTGTACTTTAGCTTTTGCAGATTGTTATAAGTTCATTGAAGTTCAGAAGGTGATCTTTGGCATTTCAGAACTGAATTTAAGTTCACAATGACCAAACTACGGTTGATTTGTGTGAGAAAAACTAGAAAATAATTCAACAGACTGCATTCGATCCAAAAACAAACTCATTAAAACTCCCAAAAATCCAAGAAGTCAATAAAAAGAAATCAAAAATTCTCACTTTAGAACAAATGAAAGTTTGAGGAACCAAAACAATCTTTCAGAATTTTTATGGCTCTATTCTTACGAATAATTTTGATTATTTCTTGATTTACATGTGAATTAAGATCGACACAGAGCATTTACCAGCTCAATAATGAAGATTCCCTTCTTCCCAAATATTTTATTGAACCTTCAGAAAAAAATAAGATTTTTTTATGTTTTTATTAAATGTTTTGAGTATTTTTTTCCCTAAATTCTATTGATATCGAGGAGCTCGAGCAATAAATTCTAAGCAAGTTAAAAGAAAAGAAAGAAATTAAAACGCGACACGCTGTGAAGAAAAAGAAGACGAAGTAAAAAAAGGCAATAAAATTGAAGCGAAGTGAGAGGTTCAATAAAAATAAGACAGCTTTTGGATCTTTTGGGATCAAATTTCAAGAATCTTTTTGATTTTTTTTCTGTTTGTTTGGATTTCTTCAATGATTGTTGCTTAATTTAGGGGATTGAATTAATGGATTTTGAGGAGGATTTCGTAAATTATTTTATATGATGATCAAGATTTGAGTTTGGGGAGGGGTGGAGGGGGTCGTATGAACTGACTTGAATTGGTTAAGCCAAGAAAATTAAAGAATTGATACAAAACTTAAGCATTTAAAATTTCACCCAAAAACTATCAAATTTGAATTAAAAAATAAAAAAAATTGAAATTTTCTAAAATTACATTTAAACTTTCCTTAAAAATAACCTAACCTCCAAATAAATTTCTCACACACTCCAACTTGATAAAAAAGCAATAAAATTCTATTCCTGATGTGATAATTACACTTATTTTGTATTTTTTCTATTGTTTGTGTCCTTAAGAACGTCGGCCTTATTTATTGACTTTCTCGCCTTTTTATTTTGCCCACAAAATTTATGTTACATAATTCAAGTGTTTATGTGAGAAAAAGAAGTTTTTTGATTTTTTAATAAAGAAATCATAAAAAGAATGTTGAGAATTTCTTGTAAGATGATTTTTATTATTGGAGGTGCTGTTGTAGTTGTTGTTTGGGGTATCAGAGGTGTTAAGTAATAAGTTGAGTGATAATTGGAGTAATTGAATGGGAAGATTTTTGAGAATTTTTTAAAGGAGAAATTTGGATTTATTTTTTGGTATTTAAATCATTTTTATACTTTTTTTGGACTTTTGAAATTAAGATAAATTTTAATTTCAAATAATAAGTCTTAAAAAAATTTGAATTTTAACTCTTTTCTGTTTTTAAAAAGTTCAACTTATTGAATAAAGGACTAAGAAAGTTTATTACAACTTAAAATAATTAAAATATATTTTAAAGAATGTTTAAAAAATTAAAGGTTTAAAATTCTTTCATAAAAACTCAGAAACGTGTAAAAAAAATTTTAAACAATTTTAAAATATTCAAAAGAAAATTTGAAAAAAAAATAATAAAAATTCAAAAATGCGAAAAAATTCAAAAAATTCAAAAATAAAAATAGAAAAATTCAAAAATTAAAAATAAAAAAATTTGAAAAAGTTTAAAAAAGAATTAAAAAAGATTTAAAAAAATTGGAAAAGATAAGAAAAAATAAATAATCTTTCTATTAATTTTAAAAAATCAACTTAATTTTAAAATAATGAAAAATCATCAAATTGAATTTGAAATTCCACTTCAACTTATTAATCTTTTAATAAATTATTTTCAAATAAACTCAAAAATAACAAATAACCCTTAAAACATTTATTTTCAATTCCCATTTCAATTCAACATTTATTTTCAAATTTTCCTTCACAAAACAAACTCAAAAAAAATTCCTCAATTTTCTTCCCAGAAACACAAGAAAAAATATTTAATTAATTAGAATCACGTTTTTCTATTTTTTTCCATCTTCACATCAAACCTTATTATTATTGTTTATATTTACTCGATATGCAGCTCTTTGTTCCAAAACAGAAGGGAGAGAAAAAAAGTTATTTTTTGTGTATTTTTTCATCACTTTTGTTTTTGTTTTTCATATTTCATCGAGATTAAATTCTGATATAAATCAAAATAGTGACTGCTTACATGCTGTTGAGACTAATTAGAAATGAAGTATGTTACTGGATTTTGAGGGAGGATAGTGATGACAGGATTTGGATGTAATGAAGTGTTTTGAGATGTTTTTGAGAGTTTTGAGATTGAAAACGATTATAATTTTAAGATTTTTGAGGTTAGGATTGAAAATTTTCAGAATTTCAACAATTTTGCACATTTTTCAAGCAAAAAATTTTAAAAAATATTCAAAAATTCTTAATTAGCTCAAACTAACCTCAACAACACTCAGCACGTCAATTTTATTTCCACACTTAATTTCTCCATATCAATTTCGATTCATTTTTTATGTAAATCTCCCCAAAATAATTAAAAAACACGAAAATTAATTAAGCAATTTTTTCCCATCTTTCGGCATGGCTTGTTAACTTGATGGAATAATCAGCGTCGATGATGATTGTAAATTGATATTCTGAATTCACTAAGATTTCTGATAACTCAATTAAAATATGTCTGTGATTTTACTATGTTGTCTATGAGAAGTTATTATCGTCATATAATCAATGATGGCTTAGCGATGATATCAATAAATATTATTAGAAGTATGGCTGTACGGCTGGATAGAATATCTTGATCAGAATTTCACGAATAAAAGATAGAGAAAAGAAGAAGAAGAAGAAGAAGAAGAAGAAGGATAAGTTATGAGGAGATGGTTAGAGACGTATGGGTTTTTTTGGGATATGGGCGATGTGCCTTCTTATTTTTATACTAAGAAGATAACATAGTTTTAAAAATTGGATCACTAAACGACTGAACTAATCGACTGCAGATTTAACTTTGTTCAAAGCTAAGAAATCAATCACAGATCATTAAACCAAGCCATCTGAAATCTTGAGGGGTGTTAAACTACACCAAACTCAGCTAAGCTATAGCTTTCGATGTATTTGAACTAACTTAACTAGAAGCACTTCTTTTAACTGTTTTAAGATCAATAAAGACTCTTCCATACTGACTTTAGGTCAGCATATATTACTTACTTTGCTGGCCGTACAGATCAATTGTGATCCATGTCCTCCCTTGCACTGCACCTGAAGCTAGCTCTATTGCTGGCTCTAATGCTGCCTACCGTTTGCCAATTACCAATATCAAAAGGAAAAACTGTCTCTATCAACACCTTCTTTCCAAGAGTTCTTGGTACGTCTATTTGATCTTTTGCACATTTTACTCAATACTAAATTTTGCCCATCCCAATTCATATCAAAGCATCCACAGAATAGAATTCTCTCTCTTTCTTAATTGTGTCGTCTTGATGTGTCAACGAATTTCCTAAAATCAATAAAATTGTAAAATTTATTTTCCCTCACAACTCATAACGATTAATAAAGCAACAACGACTTAAAAAGAGTCCCAAAATGTTTGTTTTATTTTCCCTTGCATTCTCGTAATGTTATCAGGTTACACAAATATGGTATTGAACAAGTTTCTCCATTCTTAAATGAAAAGAAAGAAAAAAAGAAATTAAAATGAAAAAGGAAAGAGAAAATAATGAGAATGTGAAGCTATAATGAAGACGACAACTCAATTTTCCCATATTTTATTTTGTGATGATTCTTTTTGCCATGGATACGGGCGCATCCAGCATTTAAATTCTTGTAATTGACACTTTTTAGAATTCCTTAATTTCCAAGTTTGCCAAACACTCAACGACATAAAATTCCATTAAACTTCAACCTTTTCAATTTTAAAAGCCCAAAAAAAATTGCCACATCTTCCTCAATCATTTATTTTTACTCAATTCCATTTACGCAAATGCCAAAATCAAGCAAAAAAAAATAATTCAACAAAAAGCTTTTAATTCTGTGCTTGTGTACCGATGACAATGAGCAAATGACAAAAAAACGAGTCATTTAATTATTATGTAAATATTTTCAAATTTTTTTTGTATGAATTCTCATTCATTCGTCATTACTTTGGCTTTGTAGTGTGCATACATTCGGTATGGATAGATTGATGGATGTTCGTGATGAAACTGATGTCTTTTGAGGTTTGCTATGATTTGAGCTGGGATGTTGACTGGTTTTTTGATAAGAGTGGGTATTACAAGTCACAATTTAAGAGATGAAGTAGATAAGCCTAGCCTAAAGTTGAAGGGTTAAGGCAAACCTAGTCTTTGTCCTGGTTTTAAAACTAGGTTAGCTCAAAAGTGAACCTAGAGCCTACCTTAGCTGTGATCAAGCCCTATTTGCTCACATCAGTGATGGACAGAGCTCGAAGTTGAATTTTTCAATGTTGTATTTTTTGAACGTACTCATCACGTGGTTTTGTTTATGAAATAAAGAAATCATTAATTATA